GTCTAGGCATGCTCGTCCGTCCGCAAATACATTCAGCAGTTTCATATCGTCAAAGAACGGCTGGCGCCAGGGATTGGCCATATGTGTGGGTCCGTTACCAACTGTGGAGCTTCGGCTATTGTCTGTAGATGCTGTGTGCACAGGGGCCCATGCAAAGTCCATCGTCGTCGTTGACTCGCAGAGTAGTTTGCCAAAAACACAGGCTAGTAGTTGTGCGTGCTGGTCAGGTTCGCGCGCAGCTCGTTGCCATCGCTTGATACGCACAATCTGTAAGTCCAGAGAAGGCGGTACCATCTTCCATTTTTTCCATACTGCATGAGTTGAAATGTTGCGAACGGCCTCGGTGGTGCCGGAGGTGACGTCGTCGCCAGCGGACTGCTTGATGCATGCGGTACCTTGAAGTAGAGTTCGAGCGTAACGCGCTACACAGGCGTCTATCTGATCGAGTTGTGCTTTTGTCAGTGCACGTGCTTCGAGTCCAGAGGTGGCAGCAGATAATATTTGACTTCTGAAAACCAATTCTGCGACGTCTCAGGTATCGGCAGTTCTTCCAGAAACGTCCCATACTCCGCCATCCTCGAGCCGCAGCAATACACCGTTCCTTAACTTCGGCGTGGTTGTGACCGTTCGCCTGCATGATGGAGCCTAGGAACAAGGTCGATGAGTGTACTTCGCCTTCAACTGGTATCTTGCGAACGTGCAGGGCGCGCGCATATCTGTGAGCGCCAGTGCCGACGAACGTCGGTAGAAGAGCCATTTTTCCCCGCGTTCTGCTGTAGTCCGATGATGCGCAGCTTGTCGTTCAGGATCTGGTCGGATTGTTGAACTTTGTAGGCCGCCATCTGCGCATTATGACACATGTGGGTCCTGGTGAGGTCGTCGGCGTACTTGCGAACGCTGAGGTCGACATTGGCGCCAGTGAACTCGCACCCTGCAACCATCGATGTACTTATATCGGTAGTGAGTGTTTCGTTCCATTCGGTAGTGGGCTGCATGAAGGCCACGCGGAACTTGATCGCGGCGTCGGCGTCTCCCATGAAGCAGCCTACAGTGTTCTGATACCCTTGAGTGTCGGTCCCATCGCTAATCACACACGCTGCTCGTCGATGCCTGCTTTTCATGATCGCACAGTCGCCAGGTAGGTATATCCTGTCCACAACATCGTCGAGGTAGGAATGGTTAACTGAAGCGAAAGCGTTCGTCATGTCATGCTTAGTGGTGATGTGGCTTCGTTGCTGCTTGGTGGGGCGCCACTGCAGTGCTAGCCCGACTGTAATCGCTGCAGAGCGCGATCGTGCTCGCGCGTAGCCGTGCTCAGTGTCATGCAATGGTGCGGTTGTGAGTGACTGTCTTGAGGCAACCCATGTCTTTCCAAACGTACATAATCCATGTAGTAGTCGAGTGCCTCATGTACGTGGTTTATTGTTCATCTTGCTTACCTGATAAGTCTGGGATAGGTTCCACCAAGCATTGAGCCGTTGGTGCTGGCGAACCGCGGCGAGTTGGGTGAGGATCGCATCGCTGAGGAGGGGGCCAGGGAAAGTCAACGTGCGGTCGTGCTCGCGGCTGCCGTCCTTATGACTGCCATCACTTCTATCGACAAGCAAAAGAAACCAGATTTCTGCAGGTAGCGACCATCCGGGGGCAGCTCGTCGGCGTTTGCAATTCTTCCGTAGCTGGCGTTCGATCGCATCAAAGTCATACTGGGCGTGTCTCCATTGATGTGCAGAAGGGCAGAAGCGCTCGTCATTCGACGCAGCAGTGTCGATGAAGTGCTCGATATCAATCGGTGCCGCCTCCATTCCTCCTTCCGCGCCAGGGAGTGCCATATCTCCAGTCCATGTTTGAACGGAGGGGCGCGCATCGGGGAGATCGAAGTAGCACCGTTTGCCAGGGCCCTTTCCATTGCCTGCAAGTCGTCGACACGCTCGCCAAACCTCTGCTTCCAGTCCTGCCTCGTCGGCTTGTTGTAGTTCGCGAAAGTGCTGCTCATCTCGGAGGTCGCGTAGTCGGCGTCGAAGTTTTTTACATGCAGCACTGCAGCGGTGGAGAGCAAGCGTGTCCTCAAGATCGTCTGTTAAGTTCTGCCGAGCTTGTGTGCGTGCGTGTAGAGCTTGACGACGTTGCTCTGCAAGCTGCTGGTACTCTATCTCAGTCGTGGGCTTTCTTGCTTCAAAATATTCAAGCGCCCGTGTGCGTATCTTAGATATCAGCAGCTGCCATCCAGATTCCATCGTATGTCTTTCAGCCCAGTCTGCCATATCACGGTAACCGTTCTCATTGAGGTATTTGGACAGGTCGGCCTCGATGTCGTCGCGTAGCTGCTTTGCCCATTCATAAAATCGTTCATCCTTCCAAGCTAAGAATATGCGTGTGTAGTCCCACTGTGGTGTTGTCTGTGGTTTGTCGTACGTTAGGGTGCAATCTACGTCGATGTACAGCATCATGTGGTCCACCAGTCGTTGCGATGGAAATGCTCGGAGCCGTTTTGTCAGACGGTAGGCAATATTATGGCGACGTACTCGCGGTAGATGGCGTATCGGCAGCACCAGGTAGTCGATGCAACTCGAGTGACCACGTAAGCCGTGGTATGTAGGGCCGCACGGGAAGTGGGTGTTCGCTGCGCACAGGGCATTGTCCTTCAGGAACGTGTGGAAAGCCTCGCCCGCATAGTGCTGCTGACCGTATGCGTGAACGCCTATGGTAGCGTCGTCGTCCACTGTCAAGCATGTGCGTGCGAGGCTGTCGTTCAGGTCGGTGCCGGTGAACACGCAGGTGCGGTTCGGCAGGTTCGAGACGATGACATGCAGATAGCTGAGCATTTTGTCTATAATGACTTCGTCCTTGGAGGCTGTGGTGTTGCGCTGCGATCTCGGCGGGAAGTATGCTGTGATGAAGGTGAAGTCAAACATCGCGCTCTTCACGCGCGTGGCGCCAATACGACCGCGTAAAGCGGGTGGGGGCTGCCATATCTTTACAATATGTGTCTTCCGAAACCATCTTCTGCTCAGCCAGATCTCGGTGCCGCATGATGTATTGCCTGTGGTGTTCTTGATACTGCGATGCCATCCAAACTTCAACATAAGGAACTCCGCTGTCGAGTGCGTCTCGTATGAGGACGCTGTCTTTGTCTGCGTTCCAGAGAGGAGTACAGCATCAATGTGTTCGAGCTCCTTTGAAATCTCCAGGCGTTTGTCGTAATCTTGCAGAAACATCGGATTCCATGAAATGAGACGCATGTAGACTGTCAGTGTGTGACATAGAAGCCCGACTTTCAGGACAGTGGGCATAACGTCCACGCTCTGGCGAACTCCGAAATACTCGAGCCAGAGCTTCTATACATATATATATATATATATATATATATGTATGTGGACACGAACGAAGCCAGGGATAGAATACGCACGGCGTCCCTCCGCCTATTGCGGCACACCCTTCACACGGCTCTATTGGGAGCCGTTTTGGAGCGTGGTGGAAGCGTCTTGGGGACCCTTGGAGCGCCCTTGAAGCTATCCTGGAGGCGCATGGGGCTCCTCATGGCAAGTCTCTCGGGAGGCTTCCCTGAAGCAGCTCCGAGGCCTCTTGGGGCCCGTTTCGGTGGGGGGCCTCCCGGGGGCTTCTCCTGGGAGCCTCTGGCCGAGGGCCCGAAAAGTCTGGTCGGATCCCCCGTCTGGGCCCCTCCTTAGAGCTGTCTAGGGGCCATCTTTGGCCGTCTTGGACGCCTCTTGGGCCGTCTTGGGGCCCTACTAGGTCATCTTGGGGCCGTTTTGGGGGTCTCTTCGGCCGTCTCGGGGCGATTCGGGGGCCTCGTAAGCTGTCTTGCAGCGTCGGGAAGCCGAAAAGGCGAGAACCCCCACAACCTTCAAAAACCATAGAACAGCCAACAGTTGTTGTCTCTGTCTGCCCTCTTGGGAAGCCTCTTGGAGGCCTCTTGGGAAGCCTCTTGGAGGCCTCTTGGAGCGTCTTGTAGGGCTCTTGGGTCGTCTTGGGACCATCCTGGGCGTCTTGGAGCGATCTTTGGCCGTCTCGGGCCGGGGCCCACTTGGACCATCTTGGGGGCCTCCTGGGGCCGTCTTGGAAGCCTCTTGGGCGTCTTGAGGCCCCATGGAGGCGCCAGGGAGGGGGCATCCAAAAAGGGGAGCCGATGTCCTGGACGTGGGCAGGGCGCTTTTCCTGGGGGGGGGGACGTAGATGTCTGCATTCGATCTACACATATGATGCAACTTATGTGGTGCTGTCTACGTGGTGCAAGGTGTATGGTGCAATATATGTTGCGCGACTAATGTACTGCAATCGATGTTGCACAATACATGTTGGGCAACTTATGTTGCACGATCTGTGTGATGCAATATATGTGGTGCAACCGATGTGGTGCAATGGACGGTGTGCAGTACATGTGGTGCATTTGATGTCGTGCAGTCTGTGCTGCGCAATCCACGTAAACCTATGTGGTGCAATCGGTGTGGTGCAATCTATGTGGTGCAATGTATATTGCGCAATCTATATTGTGCAATGTGTGTGGTGCAATCCACGTGGTGCAATCTATGCGGCGACGGGGCGGCACGGCGAGAACGGGGCCGCCAGACCGGCAGCCAGACCAAGACGACAAGCGGCGACGTCGCGGCGACGACGCGGCGACGGCGACGACTGAACCGCCAGACCAACAGCCAGGCCAAGACAACGGGCGGCGACGTGGCGGCGACGGGGCGGCGACGGCGACCACGGAGCCGCCAAACTGACAGCCAGGCCCAAACGACCACCGGCGACGAGACGGCGAAGGGGCAGCGACGGCGACCACGGAACCGCCAGACCGGCAGCCACGCCCAAACGACGGACGCAGACGTGACGGCGACGGGGGGTCGACGGCGACCATGGAACCGCCAGACCGGCAGCCAAGCCCTGTTCCGTCAGAGCCAGAAGTAGGAAGCCCGAAGTGCAAACACTGATTTGGCAACGCCACCCAATGTCAACGCATGAGTGGTTGCAGAACCAGAGCAAGCCTGCTGCGCCACCGGCAGTCACCAGGCCCACGCCGTGCAGCCACCGCCGCCTGGGATTCAGCCGGCGCGGGTCGCACGCGAAATGCCGAGCATTGGAGCACGAGGGACTCACCCATAAGAAACAAATGAACGTGGGAGGAAACACGGTGTGGGCCTGGCGTCCCAATGGACATAGTGCGTTGTTCAGCTGGGTCCGATATCCGGAGATCCCGAAATCCGCATTAAGGGAAAATGACTGATCGGTGTATCTCGATGTCGGGGAGGACTTGACATCTCGATATTGGGGGAACGTGGGCTCGACATCTCTATCCCGACATAGGAAAAGCTGCGACACGAAATCTCTGCATGTCGATTCTAAGGAACAGGGGCTCGATGTCCCGATTCTATAATATATATATGTATATATGTATACACACAAGACTGCAGTAGCGCTTCGCGCCACGCACCTTGGTCCTTGAAGTTTGGTATGCAGGCGGAATAGCAAGAAAGTCAAGTCGACAATTTAGCGATAGCTCCTTGTTGCCTTTTCCGGCATCGCCGCTATAATAATGTTATTCGTTATCCTTCCTCCATGCTTATTATCCTTATGTTCGCCATACCCTGTACATGATCCCCATCCTCCTCAGCTCTTTTTTTGCGGAAGCTCCTCCTTGGCGAACCTCTCGGGGGCCTCACAAAAGTTGCTTCAGGCTTTCTTAAAGCCTTCTGGAGGCCTCCTGGGCATATTCTGGGGGCTTCCTCGGGCCACCATGCCTCTAACCGCGGTTTCCCTGAACGATCGGGTCACGATTTGGAATGCTTCGGAGGGTGTGTTTGGGCCATCTTGGGCCGCCATGGGGCTCCCTGAGGGCCATCTTGGACCCGTGTTGTGCCGTTTTGGGGCTCTCTTGGACTGCCTGGAAGCCCTTTCGGATGGTTGCGGGGCGATTTTGGAGCCTTCCAGGCGGCTTCGGACGCCCAGAAGACCGCCGTCTTGGAGCGTCGGGAAGCCGAAAAGAGGAGAACCCCAACATTCACAAAAAACATAAGAAAATCAATGATTGTTGCCTCTTGGGGCCTTCTTGGGAGTGCTGTTGGAGGCCTCTTTGGGGCCGTCCTGGAGGCCTCTTGGGCCATCTTGAAGTCACGTCGGTCACTCTTGGAGCGCTCTTGTGCTGTCTTGGGGGTCTCTGGGACGTTTCCGATGACACCCCTGATCGCCCTAGGCGTGCTGGGAAGCTTTGCAAAACGCCCTGCGAGGCCCGGGGGGCCGCTTCGAGGCCCATCCGGAAGGTCCCAAAGCCCCAGATCCCGGGAGTCCGGTTGCGGGGGGGGGATCCCCACGCGCAGGCTTGTAAAAATATAGGGAGAGGAATACAAGATGTGGGCACCGTGGGTATTAGATTGATGAGCGAATCTGACATCCGATTCCGCCCTGCCATGGATTCGCATGTCGCTTTATATGATTTTGATCGCTGGACCGGGTACAAAATCTGTCGTTCATCACTGAATGACCGACGCTGCGCGTCAACAGCGTTGTTATGTTGAACGGAAACGATAGCGCCAAACAGGGCCAAAACGCGCGAGCAGGTTGGGCGACATCTGGGTGGAGCGACGACGCGCACAGTCGAACTGCGCCGCGCGCGAAGCAAGCAAACGGATGCCAAGACCACGGCCCCTCCCCCCCTGACGCTGAGCAGGCAGGGGAGTGGGAAATGGAGGTGGGCGGAGAAAGAATTAGGATGAAGATGCAGGCCAGGAGGAGCGGAAAAACGGAAGAACGGCCCTCATACTCACGGCGCTGGTCAGCATCGTGGCGTGATAGCAGATCGGGCAAAACTGCGGCGCGCCGCTCTTATCGACCCCCTGAAAATTCATACTCAAGACGACGGCCACGATGCGCGCACACGGACCCGTTGAGGAACAGCGATGCGACCAGGCCAAAGCACAGGAGCATCAGGGCTGACAACGAAGCCAACGGGACGCCCGCGAAACTGACAGCGAACATTGTAAATTAGCCCCAGGGCCCAGCGACAAAAGCACGTCTCTGTCCATGTTCCCTGCCTGCTGTCGTATTCCTGCCCCGTCCCGCCAACCCGCCCGCGTGTTTCGCCCCGCGGGCCCTGGCCTCACGTTTGCGTGTTCGCCGTCGTCTGTTGCTCATCGTTCTCTGTTTCCCGTCTGCGCGCAGCCGAACTGCCAGGGGCCGACGCTGCCATCCAAGGGCCCCGTAGGCGGGAGGGCCCCGGAGATCTCTCGCGGAAGTTGCCGCGCTGGACTCTGCGATGCGTGGCGAACGCGATTGGGCGCGAAGTCGGCGTGAACGAAGTCCTTGGCCAACTTATTGTCCACCAAACGCAATTTCGTGCGCGACCTCAAATTTTGCCTCGAAAACCTCGATCGCGGATGCCGGCAGCATCGACCAGCTCGCGCACGACCTCCACATCCATGGGGAGCAACGGGAACTGAGGCTCCACGAGTGCCGCCCGAGAGCAGAACGGCGACGAGCGGGAGCGACTGCGCAGCCGCGCGCGCGCGAGCCCAGATGTCTGCGGAGGGGGCACAAACTTGCGCTGTTAAGGGGGGCGACCCACTTCGACGTGCAAGGATGAAAAGAGTAAAAGAGTGGCGGCCCCGCTCGAAGGGGCTCTAAGAGGCGTCGCATCCGGCCTGCTGCCGCCTGCGCTTCCGCCGCTTCGGCCGCGCGAGCGGCCTGGCCTAGCGCGACGGCCTCCTCGCGCGAATGCCCGAATATCTGCAAGCCTCTCTCAACGTCGAGCGCCCCGAAGCCCGCCCGGCGGGGGAAGCTGCGAGGGGGGGGAGGGGGCTGCAAGGCCCGGGGCAATCCCGGCGAGTCCTCCGGAATGGCGGGCCTGGGCCCCCCGCGACCCCCCCGCCCTCGCCGCCCCCGCATCTGCGGAACCTACCCTGCCAGACTCGGCGCGCCGACTTGCGGCGGCCGTCGCCGCGTCTTCCCTGCGCGCCCCCCCCCCCCTGGCTGGGGTCTCGCGGGGGGCGCGCGCGTAGCTCCAACGATAGGAACAAACGGCGAAGGGATCAGGCGAGCGTAAACGCCCCCCGCCCTGCAGACCGCAGCCCGCCAAAGGGCAGCGCCAGAAGGGGGCAGAGGGCGCGGGGGCTCGCGAGGGGCGCGACGGCGGGGGTCGAGAGCCCAGGGATAGCCAGAAGAGGGGCAGCGGCGCGCCCTGCCAAACCGTCGCGACCGGGCCAATGCTCTCCGCTGATCGCCGCCAGCAGCAAGCTCGCAGCCCAGACTCGACGCGCCTCCGCCGCAGAGATCTCCCGGCTGCGCGCCGGGCTGTTCAGATCTGAACGCATGATCACGCAGAAGGCCTCGCGCAGTTTCTGCTGCCACTCTAGCGCGCGAGTGACCTCGACGGTTTCGGCCCCATTGGTCCCCGCCAGAACCGCGAAGGGAGGAGCGGCGACAACGCGCTGGGATAGCGCGGCAACAAAACCACGGGCACCGGGCGGACGGGCGCCGCGGCCGGCAGCCGCGGGCTCGTCGTCGGCGCGCGGCTCGCGGACAACTCGTCGTCGATGTCGACGCGGCCCCGTCGCGGCTGATCCACGCGGCCCGAGAGCTGATCGCCTCGACCTCCCCAGACCTCAGTGGCTCACTTTGCTATGCGACAGTGCCGTCGTTCAACTTGAAGGGTTCGATCGGACATTGCAGATTGAAAATCGCTGTGCTCCTGCGCTCGCGTCGCCGGGCGGACCAGCGCGTCAGCCGCCCGTGCCATCGGGGCATCTCCCTCGGGGAGGACGTCGCGGAAGTGCCCGCGCGCGCAGTTCGCCGTCGCCCGCATGGCCTGAAGCCCGCTTGCCAAAAGGGGCGCGGTTGTCAGCCGACGCGGCGCCCGGCCGGCCAGCCCCGGCCCCTGCGGCGGGCGCGCGGCCCCTTCGAACGCGAAGATTCTGGCGGGTAGCGCGGGGGCGGCTGCGATGCTGGAGTCGTAGCGGCGCTGATTGGCAGCGTTCCCTGCCTGGCAAAGCTCACCGTGGAGTTTCCTCTCGGGCCTCGAGGGTCTCAGCGCGTAGCGCAACGGCATGGGGGGTCACCGCGTTCTGGAGCTCTCGCCGGCGCCCGCGGATGGCGGCGGCGGCTTGGCCCGGGGTGGCCAGCGCCAGCGACTGCGCCCCTTCGCGGAAAAGTCGAGCTCGCGAATCGCGGGGATATCGCGCCGCGAAGACCCGGGCCACGAAGCGTTGGAGGTCGGACTTCGTCGAGGCCTATCCGACGCGGCCTTGGCCGCGCAGGAATCGACGTCGCCGACGCGGGCGATCACCTGAGCAACGACCGCGCGGTCGAGTTGGGCGGCCCCGTCGATGAGCCCCTCGCCGAGATCCGATCGCAGCGCGGCCGCGTCCGACGCAGCCGCGGCGATGGATCTGCGCGAGGCGGAGAAATGTTGCGCGACGAGTGTTTCAACCTGGCCCCTCTGCTCAGCCGCGCGGCGTCGCGGCGCCACTGACGAGGGCGCGCGGTCGCTCGCGCTGCCGCGGCCTCTATGGAAGGGGCCGCCGTTGCGAGCGCCCTGCGCGGTCAAGTCGCAACAGTCACCCCGTCAAAATCCAGGGCGCGTGCACTCGGGGCTGGCGGCGCGAAAATGAGGGGCAGAGGTGGGCTCAGGCCGGCCGAAACTGCGCTCGAAAACCGTTCGTCGCGACTAAGTAAGTAGCTCGCGCCCGGTCAACCGCGCGAGGCGAGCGGTCCGCGCGCTCAGCGGTGGAAGCGCTCTGCGCCCGGCCTAAGGAACAGGGGGGCCCAGCGCTGTTGACAGACCTGGGCGCGACAGGACAGGACAGGAGCGGCGCGCGCAAGGGCGCGCCCTGCGCGGGCGGCCGCGGGCCTTCTCGCATTCTCGCGCGCGCATTCTCGCGCCCTTGCAGTCGCGCACAGCACCGCGTTCTCACGTGCACACATTCTCGTCGGTCCATCCACTTAACGGCCCCCCCAATAAACCTGCGCCTGGAAAAGGGCCCATCGCAGCGCGACCTGCCCCCGTCCGCGGTCGCTGCGCGACTGTAGCTCGCGACGCATCCCCTC